ATAGTGGCCACAGCCTCCTGACCATGGAGGAGACAGATAAATTAAGGAGCCACTCACTTTGATCTCTATATATGGATGGGTGGTTTACGAAAAGACGTTCAGATAAGTAAAGAAAAGGGAATGGACCTTTTCCACATTTAGGCGAGCTTTACTCTAGAATCCGATGTGAAATAATTAACTTGTGTTTCTGCGTCGGATTATATATATAATTAAACTTCCATCGACATCTTTTTGTCGTGTTCTTTGCTGCTTTCTTTGGTGTTCTCTTCTGGTGTCTCTCCACCAATGGGGGCTGAATGGGGCGGCCATTGTGGTGCACGTATGTTTTTTGTTTTCCTGTAAGGTAATTAATTATGAATGCTTTTTTCTTCTTCTTTTTTTCAAGAGATTGACTCCCATCTGTGGAATCCAAAAGTCTTGGATGCACAAATCTTAATTGTGCCTAGCTCGTCTCTTAAAAATTAAATAAAACAATGGCATGTCCATCTCGTTAACCTTTTATATTTATATATATATATATATATATATATATATATATATATATATATATCTTGAACCTTCGGGTTCAGAATCTATATATAAATTTATATATATATAAATATATGGAAAATGTGTTACTGGCACCAATACAAAATGACACGATCGGTGGACCACTAAAGGAAGGGGGGTAGTGGGATGGAGATGCTGGACACGTGTCACATCCTCAGCAGCCAGCAACTGAATAAGAAGATTGGAAAAGAATTCTCCACGACACGTGGCCCAAACTTATTCGATTCAAAGCTGACAGCATATGCTGGGTTGATATATACATATATCCCATGATGGGCATTCACGACTTAAAGATCACCGTATATATTATTATTATTTTCAAAGTTAATTTACAAGAGACACGCATCTTTGTTCATTGTGCACCCCATGGGGGCATACATACAAGCATGTGCTCGATTGATTTGCACACACACACATAATTATTTTCAGAGTTCTTAATGATTATGATTTTAGGTGATTAATGGGTATTATTATTATTATTATTATTTTCTTGAGATTTTCTTGATCGAGTCTTGACTTGCTTAAGCATTCCAAATATCATGTGGCCGACTAAATAAAATCAGATTAGACCCTGAAAATAGTCTGCACTTTCGTACTCAACGTGCGAGATCAAAGCAAGATGTCCTCTCCTAGCTAGCTAGCTAGGGAGTCTTCGTCCTTGCATGTTAAAAAATTATGATGGATATAATTGATGGTCGAGCCTCTTCTAGAGTACTGGAATTAGATTCACCCCATCTCAAAAAAAAAAAAAAAAAAAAGCAAAATATACGAGGGATAAACTAAGACTATAGCCAGGGAGCTATGTTATTCTGCTGAGAGTAGGATATAAAAAAATAAAATAAATTTGAAAGCAATTAGAATAAACAAAAACAAATTTAATGCGTTCCTTATCTTTATATTTATTTGTCAAAATAGTTGTTTTGCTAATAAAAGCCTGAAAGAAAGTCTTAACAGAACGAAAGATGTTTTGATGATTCTGACGTTAATCAATTTTAAAAAAACATTATTATAATGCTAGCTTGTTGGAGGATATAAGCAAAATATCCCAAATATAAATTTTATTTATTTATTTTAATAAATTTAAATTTAAATTGAAGAAAAAAAATACAATTTTTAAATTAATTTTTAAAATATATATTAATCCGCAAAACCCGCGATCCGAACTTAAAAATCTTTTTTAAGAACATATTTTTTAATTTAATTATACATAAACCAAAAATAAAAATCTATAAGAAGACAACTAAATAAAGTTTAAGAAAAAACATGAAAGCTACGTAACAAAATAATACTCTAAATATATATTCTAATTTATTTATTTTAAATAATCTTCAATATAAATTCAAGAGAGAGAAAAATAAAATAAAGGTGAAACAGAGGCAAGCACCCAGGGTGGGCAAGTGTGCCTCGTCCATAAAAAGACCACAACGTACACCTGACTTTTTAATTCTTTTTATAGTCTAAATGGGAAAACAACATTAAAAAAAAAAAATATACACACATCACATCATTTGCATGCTGAGTTTTCAACATAAAAGAAGTAGGTAAATACAATGTAAAATGATTAAAAAAAAGAGTCTCATTACGGAAAAGAAAAGAAAAGGGATTAGAAGAAGAAGAAGGGGAGAAAAGCAAGATTACAATTCAAAGTATTTTCCCTTAGTAATGCACCTGTAATTAATTAAATCACACATTAGCGGGAGCCTAGGTGGATTTGCGGCTATGGGACAACCAAATTAGACTTTATGATAGACTGGGGAACCTGCCTGTAAGACACATTAATATTATGCTATGTTGCTGTACTTTCAATTGGGGGGTGGGGGGCACCCCCTTTAACAAAACCCGAGAAACATCAGTACAAATGTGCACGGAGACTGACCAAAACAGTGTCCCCTAAAATTGCAACTCGGATATTTAACTACATTTGTGGCAGTGATTTAAATAATATGTATAAAAATTAACAAAAAAAAAACATTACGAGCCTATCAGGAGTATAAAAAACCCAATACCAAAGAGAGAGATTAAAAAAAAAATATCAAGTTAAATTGTGGTACCTCGTAAATTCAGTGATGATAAAGAAACCATAATAAAAAAAAAATATAAAGATTTAATTTGTTAGTTTTTTTATGTTTAATATATATCAAATACAAGAACTTTCTTGGACAACCATCAAATCTATAATATAATTAATAAAAAATAAAAAAAGGATTGATTTTACCATCAAGAGAATCAAAGCACTTGCATTATTTAAAAAATAAAAAATTGAAATATTTATGAATAATAGGCATTATATTTTTTATTCAAAGATTAAATTTGTATGCTTACTGTACGTAAATACGCATAAAAAGCGAGATGATCAATTCAACCCTATATTATCTGTAAAGAATAGTTGTTCCATTAAAAAAAAAATTGTAAATGAGAGTCGGAATTAGGGTTCACGCACGCACCGTGGATCACAAACGTCCAAAGGGGTCAGAATATGCACAACATATGTGTGCTTGCATATTTAACACTCCAACGATGATAGTCATGACAATATACTTTTGATTTGATGTTGTTGAAAAGTCCAGATGGGAGGAAAATTCCAAGTACTCTTTAAGTGAGATAAATATTAATGTTTTTTTTTATATATATAATTTAATTTTAATCGAGAGTAATTATTTTAAAAAACTAAATAAATTAAAATTAATATTTTTTAAATTTTAATTTGAATTGACTAACAAGCTCAAATCAACCATTATTCAATTTAATTTTTTCTTTCAAAACTTATTGTTGCTGGTTAAATAATTATTTCTTTCAAAACAATTTAAGAAATTCATTAATTTTTTTAAAAAAACTTATATTTATTTTCTCAATGAATAGAAGCGAGTAAATAATGAAAAAATACTTGGGTTTTTTTCATCTCTAACCACACAAAACTAAGAAATGAGAGAGAAGAGGGAGGAGAGGGGAGCGGGGAGGGAAGGGGGCATGTGGGGAATGTGAGCAAACAAGCTGTGAGAGAAAATAAAAGTAAAAAAATAGGGGAAATGTGAGCAGACGAGGAGGGAGGAGAGAGTTGGCTGTGAGATAACATAATAGTAGAAGAATAGGGTTTCAGTAAAAAAATGAGTCTTTTATATTTGGGTTTGAAGTGAGGTTGAAACTTGAAATTAAACCGGTTTTGTTCGGTTTTGTTTAATTAATTTTAAAATTTTGAAACTGAAACTAGACAGAGCTGAAGTTTTTTTGTTTTTAATTTTTTTAATTAATTTTTTAAATTTAGTTTTTTCAATTAATTTTTTTTAGTTTTTTAATTTAATCAATTTTTTAGTTTTTTTTTATCTCCCCTGATTTTAACCTCTGCTGATTTTCTCGTTGCCCTTGTTTATAACTGGAATCCTATGACTCCTCAATCGCTGGCTAGTCCCTAGCATGCGTTTACTTACGTAGTTAACTTCCTTATATATATATATATATATATTGAAGGGTTTGTTTTATATTTATTGGTTTAATTTAATAATGTTTTTCAACTAAAAATATCCTGGGGGGATCACACCTTTCTCATACAAAAATTAATTTAATGTTACTTGTAATATATTGTATTGTTTGTAGTTTCATAATGCTTAATGAGAAAAGACAAGACATCATGGACGAAAATAGTAGAATAACAAATCGTGAGGCTAGCTTGCAATAAAACTGTAGAAGGCGACTGGTCCATACAAGTCATGCTCCGTGGGCAAGATTATCTAATTAATGTTAACACCATAGCACACCACCACGCCATGCAATTAGTTTTAGTACGGTAATAATAATAATTTTTTAAAATATTTTTTATTTAAAAATATATTAAACTAATATTTTTTTTATTTTTTAAAATTTATTTGATTCTCAAACTTTTTTATTTTTATAATTGTTACTTGTTTTTCTTTAATTATTTTTTTATTAAATTTTTTTTTATCAAATTTAATCCTCATTCTTTTGATTGTTACTTATTTTATTTGAAATAATTTATGAAATGTTGATTATTATTATTTTAAATTTTTCATCTTTTTTATTTTAAAGATTTGATCTCTATTATTTTGATTATTATTTATTTTATTTAAGATAATTTATAAAATTATATTTTTTTTAATTTCATTCTCATTCAATTTTTTAATTTGTAAGGTTTGTTCCTCATTATTTTAATAAACTTAAGAAAAATAAAATATTAATAAGTTATTTTCTAGTTTATTTTCCATAACATAATCAAATACTAAAAAATATTTTTCAGTTTGTTTTTTATAACACTACTACATATCAAAAAATAATTTATTTTTAAATTTTTTTTTTTTTTATAATTTACTTAAAAAAAATAACTTTCTTGCAAGAGAGAGAATAAGTAAAAATGAGAAGTGGCCTATCTTGTAGGACTACCTGCACACAAGAACACGTACAGCATTTACATTTTAAAAGACAAGTAACCAAAAAGAAAGAGAGTCTAACCTGTACCCCTCATGAACAGCAATGAAATGGGCCACCCCCCATGTTATCATCCTCTTTTTCGTGTTTGTTTACATACGCGTAAATATAAATTTATAGTGTGATTTGAATTCACATGCTATATAACTTGTTTTCTTCTTGCTGCTATTATAAATAGTCTGCCTTTTTGAATCCATATATATAATGAAGAAATGCATATTAAATCCATGTTGTGGCCTTGCGGGAGGAAAGCTAGTTATATGCAGAAGCAGAACAAAATGGAGCCTGGGATGGTGGGGCGTGGGGGGAGGTGGGGAACTGGGCAACGCAGAGGCACTGCTCGTTTTTTTGTCATCTGAGAAGTAGACAGAGTCACAGAGGCCATAATAGCTGGATTTTGTTTCAGTTTGAAGCAGGCCCCCCCCCCCAACCCATCCAAGGCC